AATACGACAGACGAGTAAAAATAACATTATACCTTGAACAAATTGCAAGTTTTGTTTCTCACGCGAATCGGGTTATATGCAACCATATGAACCTACACACAAAACCAGGTGGATCGCGTGCCATGGTTACCCCTCCAAATTATCTAAATTCCAATATGGCCGCTATGGATACATAAGATCGTCAGTACCTCCCAAACGACCCACCCAAGGTAAAAATGATGTTTTATTTCCAGATAGGAAACCGACTCCATCTGAGTCCAAAACCAATGACTTCATCAGTCTATGAGGCCACTGTGTCATAATAATGACGTAATTATTTAATAAAATGCAAAAACGGTCACACATACATGTGTACTATAAAGTATGAATCGTAAAACATTAATATGTATGGTGAGAAATTCTGCATTAACTCCATTTATTAAACCGAGGTTAAGGATATATCGAGATCTTTATGTACGTCTTCTCCCTAATTCAAAGGGACTTCAATTCGAATTCCTTCATCAGAGTGTTCGCTTACCATTGATAAATTCAAAGTTGGCTAAAAAAAATTATAACGCCACTGTCCTGAAAGTAGATCCCGGCATAGCCCACATAACTTCATTAGCCAAGGTGCAGCAAAATAATGTGTATAACTCTATATCATTGATCATTCAAAGACACTTCGACACTTATTGACAAACAAGGGCTTATTTCTGATCATTTAAAGATGGGTTTCCTTATTTTTTTAGTGTCAAATTAAGCAAACTATTTGATTAATTGGTGTTTCTAATGGATTATCATGTATTCTTACTCATATAATTATGTTCTATTGCATATAATTAAGAGTTTTAACCAATCATAAATGTCCATGTATGTACAGTCTGGATAAACAATAGGCCTTTTTGACCTTTCTCGATCGGTCACTCGTTGGTACTTCTCTTCTAATTTAGCTAATTATGAATTAATCATGAACATGTGAGACAAACTGGTATTTTTCCAAATCATTAGAACACCTCTACTTTCTTTACATATAAGTATCAGCATTTTTATTTTCATAAATGAATACAAGGGAACCCATCTTTAATGGTCCAAATATTTCCCAGCCATTTAAATACACCTTCACAAGTCACAAACAAGTCAGCGTCGTTTTATAATTTATATGGACAGTTTAACCACAGCTTTCTCCATTAAAATTCCACCAACACTGTAACAAATTTCCTTGAAGCCATCATCGTAACATTAGGTAAATAGCAACACAGAAAATCTGAGAAAATTGACGGCTGATCAGTCTTCTGGTAGTATTCAATAGAAAAACTCTCGACACAGTTAAAATAAAATGGCATTAAGTTTGTATTGAGCTGTAATTGAGTGAATTTGGATGATTGAGGGTTGAAGGAAATGTTTTAAAAGAATTATACAAAGTTTTTGTTAGAAGCAGTCACTGGCTGTCTACTGATCAATACAGGAATGAAAGAGGCTTAGAAAGAAACAGATTTGAACAGTTTTATATGTGGTAATTTGTAACATTGGATTTAACCCCTCCATTACGTAAAGAGTCGGATTGTCTGACATATTCAAATATCCGTTATGATATCTAATGCTGGTATTAATGCAAGATGAAAATATTTCTTTACAATAATATGACCATTCTAGGAGTAGTAGATGTGGACTGATATGTCAATGGGACGGTATTTAACTTGACGAACATGGAAAATGCGTCTAGTTGTTGGAACAGAACGTCCAACAGAGGCTCAGACTCGGATGCTACTTGGTGTGTATGAAACGATCTTGAAATCCATCAATACTGCAGGATAATTATTACTGTCTAGTCCAAATTTTACTCACTGTGTTTCCTGCCTTGAATCGGGCACAGACAAATAGCTGAAAAAGAGTCAAATGATTGTCAATTGCTTCCAAATGCACTCTTGCACACGACCCCATCCTCAGAAACTAATAGCATATCTTGGTATTCTCTGAGGAAAGAACCTATAAGAAATATATTTGGCAAATAGACAATAGCAGAATAATACAACACAACTATATACTGTATAATTGCTACAATTATATTATGTGATATTCCCAGGTGAACGGTTTCGAAGTTTGGTAGAAAGTTCAGAAATAATAAAATTAGTCTTTAATTCTGAATATTTACAATTTAGACTATTATAAAATAATTTCAAGGTGATGAAACCAGCATTCCGTTGCCAATTTCCTAGCAAACTGCATATGAACAAATCCAACAAATTTTTGTAGGCAAAATGTTACTCCGCTTCTACGTTTGTCAACTCAGCGTTCCTTTCGACAGCCTACTAGGCAGCTACAGTATTAGTTTATGATTATCTCAGCTGTCCATTGTCGGCTTTGAAATAAACTGTTTAAGAATCATCCATCCATATGATATCCCATATCAACGAATGTTCTGGGCCTATTGTGAGTTCCCTTCGCCAATCTTTGAATCTAATCTTCCAGGAGTAACATTCCCTACCAGGTACACAGTATAAACTAAAACAGGGGATGTATGTTACAGTCTGAAGAGTTACTGTTGCCCTCATTGGTCTAAACTTATTAGATACGATTTTGTATCACTGAAAGGACATTTTCTTTTAACTGATTGTAAAATTGTGCCTTATTCTCCTCTGTAACTCCTGTTGCCGCTCTGAGACTGGGTTGCTGGTCTGTTGAGGGTTCACAAACTTAATAGTTATAATTTGTATCGAAATTGTTGTTCGACACTCGCACAAGAAGATTTGGTCACTGTGTTCTGGAATTGTTAGAATCATATTATTAAGCAATGTGTCTATTGGGGCATTTTCACGCGGGATATTATCTTTTAATTAGTACATAACGAAATTCCCACGACTAAGGAATTGCTTATTATATCACAGTTCGCCTCTCCCCCGGGATTATTCGTAGTCTGACTGCCCGTGGGGTTAAGGTATTGTTAATGTTGATTAAATACGAATTAATTCTACCGGACAGTTGACTTTATATAATGACTAGACGGTAATGGTCTGAGCTATTCAATTCACGATTAAGTTTTATTTTAACGGAAGCATTTTGGATACTGAAACTTTAGTCACCTTTAGTGGATCTTGAATCATATTTATCCTATATTGCCAGAATTTCCTGAGTATTTCGTGAGCATTTTGGATACTGAACCCTTAGTCACCGGTGGTACTTGAATCAAAGCTATCCTATATTGCGAGCACTTCGTGAGTATATCGTGAACGTTTCGTGAGTATTCCGGATAACTAATCATTGGTGAGTGTGTGCGTTGTAAGGTAAGAACCTGCCATACTAAGCACTACATCATGTTTTTTTTCTTCGAAACGTTCTTTGTCGTTGGAATCGATAGTCATACTTCGAAATAGACTTCGGCAATCTGATTCAAATACAGAACTAGATGTTTCGTTTCGTAATTTTTCAGTGGCCTACTCCACGTTTTCACTTTAACTGGAGTTTTGAAAATTTAGTGAGCCAATGGCGCCAACAGTTTTCATAATTTTTCAACATCAAAACATCAAAAGTACTACGTGAAATCCAGAATATAAGTCAATGTTTAACGACGGATACACCAGTCTAAGCTTGTTCCAGATACATCTTATATTAAAAGTTCATTTGATTGGATGGAACTTGTGATAACCTAGAAATGACTGCCAGATCGTAAATATAGTCATACATGGAAAATCACCAACGTTAAACCATCTTGATCTGAATTTTAATCAGCAGTATTTACTTGCAATACTCGAGGGCTCAAGACCTTAGTAACTTTGTCATACCGGTAGTTTTAGTAAAAAGCTTTATTTGTCAGAGTATCTTTAAAGCAATTAGGAAGGTAACGGAGAATTCTCATTTTAATAAACAAAAGCAGAAAAAATGTCACATCAGGCTACAAAGCTTCAATTTCTTCATCGCCGGCAATCTCTTACTGTAATTCAATAAGATGCATTAGGCTGTTGATTTTAGCGGAAACTTTACGATCAGTTTTAAACAGAAGTGATCAAAATCAATGAAGTAAAATACAAGAACTTGCAATTTGTGTGTCCTTCGGTTTGACGTGAAATTTCAAATATTCTCTCTTGAATATGACAGTTTGTGTAAGAGTTACATTGTCTGAAGTCGAGAGTCTCAAATTTCTATTATTTGAATTTGCAATTCAGTATGTGATGACTAATTTGAAATTTGTAGACCGAATCTAGAAGTGTGTACTCATGAATTTACCAATTTTTGTTTTTCTTGATTAATCTGAAAGAAATAAATACAGACATGTCTCTTGGTTGATTTTAAATACCTCAAGGAACAAAGGCTATGAATTGATAGAAATCAGTATGTTATATGCCACATTAAGTGATACAGAAATTTCAGAGGTGTGCTTAATTTAAAATGCATTTTTTTGTTTAACTTTGAGTTGTTTTCAAACTATCGCTGACGAAGGACCAGTATCTGAAATGTGCATGATGGATAGTGAAAGTAATTTCTTAATGTGATAAAAAAAATAAACGCTTTTGAATAGAAAGAAAGGTTCCCAGCCATCAGTTAGCAGAGTGTTTTGTAAAGAAAGTAGACAGTTATAGCCAGTGAAAATTAAAACAGTTAAAACAGACAATTAGAGATCTATCTAGGGAAATTAGACTATAGCACATGGAATATGGATGAGACAGCCGATCTTTTACCACCAGAGTAAGTTTTCTTTTTTATTTCATCAAATTATCATCTTGTTCATTATCGTTTATTCAATCAACAGGAACTATATTTTGAGTTCTCAGAGGTCGTTAGGGGTTACTTTCTATATGATAGGCGTTGAGTCAGTGTTGACTTCATATCATCTAATATGCCGACAATGATTGGGATTCTAGGTACTGTAAGCTATAAAGAAACATACACTGTGGCGGGGCCAAAGGTGGGGCAGAGGGGGCAAAAAACTAGGTTAGAGATTTGGGCAATTTCAGATATATCGCCCCCCTTTGGACGTAAACCTGGCTCCGCCACTTAACATACACAGTGAATACAGTAAAATATCATCATTGTCGTTGTCCAGTCATTATCTCCAACATATACAGCAAGATAAACAATATGAACAACGCATACACCATAATCAATGCATCATCCGAACCATCATCGTCGTCCCAACCATCATTGTCGTCCCAACCATCATCGTCATCCCAACCATCATCGTCCCAACCATCATCATCATCAGAACCATCATCATCATCCGAACCATCATCGTCGTCCCAACCATCATTGTCGTCCCAACCATCATTGTCGTCCCAACCATCATCGTCGTCCCAACCATCATCGTCGTCATGCTGAAGATAGAGCAAATAGCAGACAGCATTCAAAAGCTACAATCACAATCAACGACATCTCAGAATCCCAGAAAGTTATTCCTCGATAGATTTATTTGAAAAAAGGAGGTTACAATGTGATCGTAGGATTTGAGCTATATATTTTGTTTTTTCCGAATTTAAAAGGACGAAGTTTCCCAATCATTTTAAACGTTGAAGTATTCTATACGACATTGTCATTCTAATGACGGGTAAGGGATATTCAGAAACATTCCCAGCAAACACATTCAACGAATAATTTAGTTAGAATATAGTATAAATGAAATATGAAAGTATATTTTCAATTTTATTTCAGACATAGAAGATAAAATTTGTCAAAAACAATAGTTAATTGATGTTAGCCACATTTCAAATATAATAGACAGTATTTAAATGAAATATTATTAAACTGACACAGACAACTATACATATTAAACTTGACAAATTCAGGAACTCGTCAAACTAAACTCAAGATATTGTCAGTGCAGTGAAACTATATTATACATTCCAATATATTATATGTTACATCTCAAAACAGAAGGATGATTGCGGAAACTATATCCAAAATCAAATAATTTGGATACGAGACAACAAAAGAAACATACGTTAGTCTAGTATCGAATTATATCAATATTATAAACAAACAAGGCTGAAATAAAGCAACTCTGTGGAGGCACAAGCCTCTCGTGGAGTCTTTAAAAGAGATTCCCCAAGAAAATTTTCGAAAATTGAATTGGTTTGGTTCACACTGAAGCATATTTCGAGGCAAAATGTATGAAAATCATATTTTTAATTTGTAAGAAAAATAAAGTGGGGGAACAACTGGGGTTGGGGGGTGGGGATGGGGAGATGTGCAATCCATTTTTGTATGGGGCAAATGCCTCCCATGTACCCTAACTGGGGGCCTCCTCGTTTGAATATTACAGTAAGGCTGAGGATCCATATTTCTCCATGTAGAAACATTTGGCTGTAAAAGTACTCATTGCAAACTACATGGCATTAGGCATTTCTCTCCGTTAGTAGACTAATCAGGTGCAGAAAAGTTAAATTTTTAAACCCCATTTCATTCAGTATCAGGATTATGTTCTTGGTTTAGGAATTTTACAGTTTTATTGCGATTTATCGATTAGTTCTGTCTGTGGGAAGCGAATAAACTTTATTCCACATTAACGTCTGAATCGTCTTATAGGAATAATAAAATTATTGAATTATAAATTTCATCCTTGTATACACAACAGACACAGAGACATATCTTAACCTCTCTGTATTGACAATGAACCATGTAAGACGCCATTTCCGTAGAATACTGACGCAATAGAACGATATACAGATAATGACATACGTTATGCCTATCTTTGAAGTCTAAGACGTGGAAATCGTTCACTATTTTGAGTTCATTATGATGAAGCTAGCAATCCAGTACACGCTTGAACACTTGGTGGCGCTCTTACCCTGGATTGGCATTGATTATAACCACCAACCAGGGGCGTTTCTAGGAAACACAAGGGGAGAGGGTCGGGTCGAGCAGGGGCCACAAAATTGTCTAAGGGGGCCACAGACCATTCTTTTACTATGTAAAATATAAAGCTCGGTTTTATTTTATAACAACCTTTTTATTTTTTCAAGAAGACCGAGACAAGGTTGAGTAAGTGTAACCGAGAACGTTCTGACAATTTCAAAACAAATGCTGATGCAGAGCCAATATGACTGTTGAATGACACCAAGAACCGTTCTCGATCCCTTGATATTCGACTGTGTTAAGATGGTTTGTTAAGCCCGTGGATATGAATTAATGAAGAATATTTCAGTCGTTTTGAAATGAATGAAATATTAGACTTGTTATATGGAAATTGTCTTTGTGTCTGACCCCATGGTCGAATATTATTTCTTCAAAACATTAAACTATATTACCAAAAGAAATAGGCAATATTACCAAATAAATAATATTAGTAGTCATAATACCAAAAATCTAGTAAGCAAAATAAACAATGTAACGATGGAGGTTGCAGAATTCATTGGAAGTGAAAAATTATTGAATTTGAGTTCTGCTAAAATCCTGGATTTGTGGGGTTCGGCATTGAATTTAGTGATTCATAATAGTTAATATTGCTTATTTACTCGATAACTCCCTGTAATGAGTGGTGTTATTGAGAAAGTGCCGCTTAGCTTTGTCACACATCTGATATGGGTGCAGTGTATCAGTGTATCAATGATCCACTAGCCATGCTTTTTCCTTGTTATTCGTAAGTCACAACATTTTCGACTGCTCTAGTTCCCATGACTTTTCACACAAATACAATAATATGTATTGCCATCCACCAGTCATATAGAGAGAACTTCTATTCGGCATCAATATCATTAAATTATTGCCAGATATCGACCGATTATCACCAATTTAATGAATTCTTAAACTGTACAATTTTCAGAAAAAAATAAGAAATATAATAATACTGGTTACCTCCCATATAGTACATTTTCAATATTTTATTTTGTTAAAATGGTTCAAAACGGAATGCGATACGTCAATGTTGGATGGTTAAAGCTAACAGAAAATTACTTATCCGTATCTTGAGGTTAATAGCTGACATTTTCTTTCTCTGGTCCTGTCGGGCCCCAGCGTCTATTGATCTGTTTACTTGGATTTGAGATCAACTAATAATCACTGTCGTGGGCTGTGTTCATTCATACGAAACACATGTTACATTGTCAACTCAACTTGATGCAATCGGTATTATTCTCCATACCAATCGTATTGCATCGTACCCCAAGTTTCATTATCTCTTATATTTGTGATTTTATGTCAGTCACATTCCAGCAAGTTAAATGTAATCGAAGCAGTTTGAATTATCATCAGAAGAAATACATCTACTCTAATTTTATTCCCATATTTCAGTTAAAATTCTACTTATAGATTTTAATATTCTTCTGTATCACTCCCACACTTCTCGACAATTATTGAATTCACTCTATATAGGGCGCTATATTTAGCATGTTATTATGTTGTGTTCGCTATTGATAAAGGCAAACTTGAAATTCATTTTGGTGCTTTGATACAAGGAGTTAGCTTAACTTGTAGCGTTTCTAATCAGCCTTACTCACTGACCAACCAGTAAGCGTTACTTACACTGTGCGACTAGTAAGCGCTACTCACTGAACAACTAGTCAGCTTTATTCACACTGAACAACTGGTCAGCTTTACTCACTGAACAATTAGTCAGCTTTACTTACTGAGCAACTAGTCAGCCTGGTTCACAGGGCAATTAGTCAGCTTAATTCACTGAGCAACTAGTCAGCTTTACTCACACTGAACAACTAGTCAGCTTTACTCACTGAGCAACTAGTCAGCTTAATTCACTGAGCAACTAGTCAGCTTGATTCACTGAGCAACTAGTCAGCTTTATTCACTGAGCAACTAGTCATCTTTAGTCACTGAACAACTAGTCAGCTTAATTTACTGCGCAACTAGACAGCTGTACTCACTTAGCAACTAGTCAGCTTAATTTACTGCGCAACTAGACAGCTGTATTCACTTAGCAACTAGTCAGCTTTACTCACACTGAACAACTAGTCAGCTTTACTCACTGAGCAACTAGTCAGCTTAATTCACTGAGCAACTAGTCAGCTTGATTCACTGAGCAACTAGTCATCTTTAGTCACTGAACAACTAGTCAGCTTAATTTACTGCGCAACTAGACAGCTGTACTCACTTAGCAACTAGTCAGCTTAATTTACTGCGCAACTAGACAGCTGTACTCACTTAGCAACTAGTCAGCTTTACTCACTGAGCAACTAGTCAGTTTAATTTACCGAGCAACTAGACAGCTTTACTCACTGGGCAACTAGATAGCTTTAATCACTGAGAAACTAGTCAGATTAATTCACTGAGCAACTAGACAGATTTATTCACAAGCAACTAGTCAGCTTAATTTACCGCGCAACTAGACAGCTTTACTCACTGAGCAACTAGTCAGCTTTACTCACACTGAACAACTAGTCAGCTTTACTCACACCGAACAACTAGTCAGCTTTACTCACTGAGCAACTAGACAGCTTTACTCACACTGAACAACTAGTCAGCTTTACTCACTGAGCAACTAGATAGCTTTACTCACTGAGCAACTAGTCAGATGTCTGTCTATGCTTATATGTTTTAAGGAATACGACGAATGTTTATGTTGATGCACTGCATATATATCCAGGATGGAGCATTGCGTTTAAATGATTTTTCAGAGAGATTTTCTGTTGCTGTGGATAGCTTTGAAACCTTTGTAATCTACTGAAAGATACAAGTGATCGCGAGAGGGTAATTTTCAGTTTGTTTCGTTTATTCTGTGTTTTGTATCAACAATAAAACTGAAGTAGTGAAGAAGACCTAATTTCAAGTTCAATATTGCTAGATTTCTAATCAAGCACTGATTATCTCATTTCACCACACTTTATGTCTTTTTTCCTACAATTCCACCAGTTTATTGGTACCAAATCGCTGCAATTACCCCCAATTGCCTCAAAATATCAAAGTACGATTTCTACCAACACAATATTATGATTGTGGCACGGTTGACCTTGGCAACAATCTCAAGACTTTTTCTTTAGTTTAATAATGGAAAAAAGCATATATGTTTATGGCCCTCTGCCCCCAGAGCAGCCACTGCATTTTTCTATCCGAAAGTCTAAAACTGAGATAAAAGCCAATGTTGTTCCTTCTACGATATGGTCGTCTCAAACCTTGAATCATTCCAAACCATCATTTGATAAAAAACGAAAAGGACTCCAAATATAAACATTTTTAATATGATAATATCAAATATATTTAAATACGTATAACAATTGTAAATTTATAACAATATCGGTGTTTAGATTGCACTAAGGTCTAATAAATTATGTTTCC